GCAGGAGATATATTTTTCATTTATGTCTTCTGTCATTTCTTTCAGCTTTCTTTTTCCATCATTCTTAAGTTTTTGTTTTTTTTTTTTGAAGAGGTTTTTGCTATAGGGCACGTGCGCTCGCCAGACAGAGAGAGAGAGAGACAGAGAGATAGAAAGCGAGAAATCACCCCCCAAGGGGGGATGGCCACGCCGCAGTCCGTTCTCCTCCATTCTCCTCTCGGGATCTTGAGCACGCACGCACACGCACCCGGCGTGAGTTTTAAGCCACCGGGTCTGGGATGCGAACCGCAGTCGACTACATGGGAGTCCAGCGACATAGCCATTACGCTAACTGCTGGTTCCCTGTAGTTTTCTTGTAGTATCTTCAACTGGCTTTTGTATTAGGGCAATGCTAGCCTTATAGAATGAATTATAAGATAAACATATTTTCTTCTTTTTAATCTTTTGGAGAACTTTGAGACATATTGATGTTAGTTCTTTCAATGTTTTGTAAAATTAATCAGTGAAGGAAGGCATCAAGTTCAGATATTCTCTTTGTCAGGAGAGTTTTGATTAAGACTAGATCTCTTTACTAGCTATAGGTCTTTTTCTATTTTCCGTTTCTCTGTGATTCAGTCTTGTTTTTCTGTTTGTATGAGTTTGTTCATTTCATTTAGATCATTCCATATTTTTGTAATATAATTTATTACTGTCCTCTTATAATCATTTTTTATTTCTATAGAATTAGTAACATGTTTCTATTTTCATTTCTGATTTTAGTAATTTAAAAAATCAATCTAACTAATAGTTTGTCAATTTTGTTTATTTCTTTAGAGGCTCAGTTTTTTGTTTCCCTGATTTTTTTCTGTTGTTTTTCTATTCTTAATTTATTGCTCAACCAATCTTTATTGTTTTCTTCCTTCTGCTCTTTCTGTGTTCAGTTTATTCTTGTTTTTTTCTTTTCTAGTTTCTTCAGTTGTAAAGTTGTTTTTTGTGATCTTTTGTATTTTTTAATGTAAGTGTCTATAGCTATAAATGTCTTCCCTAGCATTGTTTCCACTCCATCTTCTCTTTTAGTATGCTATATGTCTTTTTTCACTTGTCTTTAAGAATTTTCTAATTTCCCTTGTAACTTCTTCCTTGACCCATATCTGTTTAAGAGTGTGTTGTTGAATTTTCACAGATATGTAAATTTTCCAGCTTCCCTTTTGTTAAGCCTCATTCCATGGTAATTAGAGAAGATATTCTATATGATGGTTATCATATTAAATCCATTGACTATTAAATCTACCTTTAATTCTGTCAATTTTTGCATAATGAATTTTGAACATGTGTTATTGGGTACATAAATAAAATTATTATGTCTTTATGATGTATTGACCTTTTAATAGATAACACCCTTCATTGTATCTCATAACCTTTTAAATTTAAAGTCTAATTTCTCTGATATTAGCATAGCCATGTTTACTTTCTTTTGTTTGTTATTTGCATGGAATATCTATAGTTATTTTCTTGTAGATAACATATAGTGGGGTCTTTTGTTTGTTTGTTTTGTTTTGTTTTTAACTTTTAACAAACTGCCAGACAGTGCTTGTGCTTACTAAAGACAAAGAGACATCAAGAGAGGAGGACCAAGTGCCCCACAGTGGGGCATACCCATGTCAATTCCTTCTCCTCTGTTTCTCCATCCTGTCAGGATTTTGAGCTTACATGCACATGTTCCTGATGTGTTATTCAAGCCAGCAGGGCTGGTATTCACATCATAGTCAGCCATATGAGATCTGACTTTTTTAACCACTAGAGTGAGGGCCAATATGTAATGTGGAGTCACAGTAACTAAAAGGAGTGAAAAGAGGCGTAAAGTGGTGGAGATTTTGTATGTTATTGAGATGAGTATATAATATGAGGGTTTTCTTTAAAAAGGTAATGGAAAATGCATATTATACGAAACTTATGCATAGACTTCATTTTTTTTGCACCAAAATAAACTCATACTTTAATCTTTCACAAACTTTTTGAAGTCTCTTGAATATAGTATTTTCCTTTTTTCCTGGTAATGTGATGAATTTAAACCTAATTCAACTGTGATCATTCTTATGCACTACTGGATTTGGTTTACTAATTTTTTAAATATATTTTTTATTTCAGTTTCTTTTATACATTCAATCACATATGTCATTTAGCTTGCAAAGTGAATATTCCAATATGTATACATGTCTCACCAGTCCAGTTGAGAATACTACAAATACTATACATGTTATCTTCAACAGATAATAACCCATTTATTTGTCCCATAAATGTCTTGCCAAATGTCTGCCCTCTATGACCAAAACTGAATGACTAGAGGATACAGAAACATAGAAAATAGTTATAAATATCAGATACAGTGTGGGAAGAGGGTGGGTGAAGGACGAGAGTCTGAGGAAAGACATTAAGGAGAAAAATGGTTTACTAATATATTTTTAATTTTTTTTTTACAGCATGTTGACGTCTACCTTTTTTTTCTTTTTATGTCCAGGTCTAAGTTTGGCGTATATGTAGCAAGTGAATTGAATTGTGCTTCTTCTTTTCTATTGTCTGAAAAAAAGTTTTAAGCTTGAACTTATATGTTTCCTGAGTACTTGATTAAACTCACTTGTGGGACCAGCAGTTGGCATAATGGCTATGTCACTGGACTCTCATGTTAGTCGACCACGGTTTGAGTCCCAGACCCAGTGGCTTATACTCATGCCTGGTGCGTGTGCGTGCGTGCCCAAGACCCCAAGAGGAAAATGAAGGAGAAGGGACTGTGGCATGGCCATCCTCTCAGGGGTGATTTCTCGCTTTCTGTCTCTGTCTCTCTGTCTTTCTGTCCAGCGCACACGCCCTATAGCAAAAACCTGTCAAAAAAAAAAAAAAAAAGGAAAACATTTTTCTCTTGTTCCATGTCATCAATTTATATTTTGGGATAAATAAGCATACTTTTTTAACCATGAAAGGAATAGGAAATGGAAATTTTTTTAAAATTAGAATTTAGAAATATTTTTGTTATGTTCATCCATCAAATGTTAGTTTCATATTTTGCCATATCTTTTTCTTTCTTTAAAAGTTAAATTCTTTTTTTCATTATATATGAATTTTCCTTATTTATTGACAGTATTATATATACTGTGATGACAATTGGTGCCCATATATATGAAATGCAAATCATTGAAAGTCTGAAAAATTGCTTGAATTATTAAGAAAGGTTAAATAGAGTGGGTTGGGATTAATTTTGCATTTGTATCAGTTCATATTATAGTTTTTTATTAATTAAAATTATTCTATCAGAATAATACCTTATTATACTTGGAAATAAAAGTTAAGGCTAAAAATTTAGCACCTTACTCAAAAAGAATGAATTTTTACTTTATTTTTATATAAAATTTGTTGTTGTTTTTTAGAGAGATTTTTGCTACAGGGCACATGTGCTCACCCGAGAGACACAGAGACAGAAAGCGAGAAATTACAACCCCCCCTCCCCAAAGGGGGATGGTCACGTTGCAATCCCTTCTCCTCCTTTCTCTTCTCAGGATTTTGGCCATGCATGTACACGAGCCCAGCATTAGTTTTAAGCTTTCAGGTCCAAAACCATGGTTGGCGCTGTAGGAGTCCAGCAATGTAATCGTTACACCATTTGCCAGTCCCAAATTTGTATATTAAATCTGTCAAGAGAAAATAACTGCTTTAAAATATCGGGCATTTAGGGATTCTAAGGTCTTTTCAATTCCTTTCCACTCTACCATGGTCTACAAAGGCCTACAGATTCTGAGAATGATTAAACATGGTGGGCACCTAACTTGTGTCAGTAATAAAACTTTTGTCTAGTAAACATCCTCAATATGGTAAAGATAAAAAAGAAACAACAAGACTAGCAGATGGCATAATGGTTATGTTGCTGGATTCACATGTAGTTGAGACCCAGTAACTTAAAACTCATACTGGGTTTATGTACGTATGTGCCCAAGATTCCAAGAGGAGAATGGAGGAGAAGGGATTGTGGCATGGCCATTCCTCTGGGGAGTGATTTCTTGCTTTCTGTGTCTCTGTCTCTCTGGCAAGCACACGTGCCCTATAGCAAAAATCTCTCAAAAAGAAAGAAAGAAAGAACAAAAAGTCTAAAATTAAGATGTGAAAATTCTGAGAAATATTAATTTTTATCCCTGCGGGGGACACTTCTTTTATTATATTCACAATTTCATTTTTTGCCCATATTTTTTATTGCAATTCAGTTTGTTATAATTATGATTGTGGAGAAGTAACAGTTAGTTATTGCCTGGGAGACTGTTGAGATTTTGGTTTTTGTCCTGCATATATATTTTTAATTTCTGTATAAGTTATTGTGTGTAGTTCAGCACTGTAGCAGTCTATATTTCTTATTTGTCATTTTTTCTAATCTTCTGAAAACTGTTAAAGGTATGCTTTCCCCAAAAGAAGCAAAAATACAACCAATATCTGAGCTTGGGGATGAGTTAATGTAGTAAAGTCCAGGGTTTGGGAATCAGAAGAGACAGATTACCATAAAAATTCTACTAGCAATTACCTCTGAGAGTAAATAAAGTAATTCACTTCTTATCATCTCATTTACTTAATCTGTAAATGATAAGGCTGGACTTGCATAGAAAAAAACAAAGAAAAAATATGTCATGACTTTTCCAATGACCTAATAATTTCAGTAGTTCCAAAGATCTTCCAAAATTTAGGCCATTAACAAATGTTAACTTAAATCTCTAAAGTCATAAAACTAATACATATTTAAAACTAAAATTTTGAGTAATAGGAAAAGTAAATCTTGCCTATGAACCTGTGTAAAGTTTGGAAACAATTTTTCTGTCTAGTTTATTCAGTTTCACGATTAAAAAAGTCTACTCAAATCTCCTAAATTCTCTTACTTTGTAGAGTGGAAAAGAATGAAATTCTATGGGTTTTTATTTTATTAGAATTGTATTTTGGAATTATATAGTTGATTGTGATTGTTTTATTTTTATTTTTCTAAATCATAGGGTGGCTTCACTCGTAAATATTCACTTAGCTCAAAAACTGGAACGCTTCTTCCAGAATTCCCCAGCGCTCAACACCTTGTGTATCAAGGATGCATTTCTAAGGACAAGGTATCAATTATAGATACTTATTGATTTTTTGATATGTTGGTTCTGTATTTCAAATTGCTGGGAATCTCCCGGCACTTGTAGGAAGCAGTCAGAAATCCAAATAACCAGACATAATTGACTGATTTATAGGCGAGGCAAACGTTTACTAGCATTGATGAAACACTTTCCAATGAATTATTTGCCATTTCCATGACAGTATGTAAATCAGAAGGTAATAAAATAAGCCTTAGAAGATGAAAGATTATTTTTTATTTAAAATTCTATATTAAGGAAGAAAATAGAAGCCTATGCCTATCACGTGTGTTTTTCTTCAGTTACAAGTTTTATGCTTTCAATTAGTGCCATTTTCTTTCAGTAAATAGTCATCGAACATTTCTTTGGGACAAAATCTATCCCTAATACTGAAGGGGAAATACTCAGATCAATGAGAGGAGTAAACCAGGTGATCACAAAGATTTTTTTTTTAGTCCTAAAATTTTGTGCTCTCTTTAATTCACAATTTTTTATTACAGTAAAGGAAGAAGCATTTTCTTTGGTTCAATTATAAGTAATCCTCGATATGAATTTTCAATGCTGTGTAACAAATCTAAAACTGAATGTTTTATTCTGTAGCGTGATGATTTGTTAGGGACCTATTCTCTGTTTAATAGCAAGAACCCTTATTAATCACAGCATGATGCTGTATACATTTTCTTTCAACTAGTTTTGTTGTTGTTGTTAGTATTTGAGGAAAACATTTTCATAGTATATTAACTCAGATCATGTTCCTGAGGTTCAAAGATAGAGGAATATGACTACTGTCTAGCTGTAATATTTCAGAAATGGGCATTTTGTAGAAACATGAAATAGCACGTTGGTTCTATTTATTTTTAATTTTTGTAAAGGTTTTTGCTGTATGGCATGTGCACTCACCAGAGAGAGACAAAGAGACAGTGAGAAAGAAAGTGAGAAATCACCCTCGGGGGCAGGGGGCGAGGTGGCCACACTGCAATCCCTTCTCCTCCATTCTCCTCCTGGGACTCTGGACACACATGCACATATGTCCAGCACGATTTCCGAGCCATCAGGTCCAGGACTTGAACCTCAGTCGGCCGTGTGGGAGTCTTAACCACCATGTCACCTGCTGACTCCAGCATATTGGTTTAAATGGCCATTAATAGATAAGTAGAGATGCACAGTAACTTACAGGATTTATTTTGTTGGTGGACATACTCTGCCAGTTTAAAACAGGCAAGGTATTGATGGTAATTCTCAAATGCCAAAGCCAAATCCTTCTCCTGAAGTATTTCTATTTCCTATTATTATTCGACTCCATCACATTTCTCAGGGTTATCATATTTGTGTGTGTGTGTGTGTGTGTGTGTGTGTGTGTGTGTGTATTTTACCTTATAGCTACAATATGTGATATTATGACTTCATGTTTGAGAAATCTCCAGTAAATGTTGATGTGTGGCAGTTTGTGGGGAAACCTGTGAAAACCAATGTGACCTCAGTTCTCTGGGGGAAGGCATTGTTGAGTGACCTTTGTGGAGAGATTGCTTACATGCAAGCGACTCATGAAGATGTTTACTGTGTAAATATACTTGATGAGAGAGAGAGCGAGAAGGAGAGTAAACAACAAAGAAAAAAAAAAAAAGAGGTGAAGAATAGAGTCTAATAGTTCATTTCAGTTTCTCTGCTGCTCTAAGGCAACCCTTACCTGTCAGCTTGAAAGACTGGTCTGTAGTAATTTCTCACTCAGTATCAAAGTTCGTATGTAACCTCTGGCTTCTAAGTTCATTGTTAGTGGACTCCATCATAAGTAGCAGGCTGACACTCTTCTTTGTCCCTTGATGACTGCTTAGCCCTTTCACCTTCATAGTCAGTAGCCAAGTCCCCAAGTAACCTGTTAGTTCCTAGAAAGAGGGGTGGGACTGAAGCTCAGCACCTGAAGCACCTGCTTCTATAAGGCAGAAAGAATGGAGACTGCCAGATGAGAAACTGACCCCAGTGAGAAATGTTGCCTGGAACTGGAAGTCTGCTTTCTGCCTCATCATAGAGTCATTTGAGGCAGTCGCCACCCCTTCACATGCTCACTGTCTCTAATGGAGATAAGCCTTGTCTCTGCACCTCCCCTCTCTAATGTGACGTGTATTCTCAGAAAATGGAATAAAATTACATTTATAAAGAGTTCAAAGCAGGGCCAGAAGGTGGCTTGGTGGTTAAGTTGCTGGACTCCCACATGGCCGACTGTGGTTTGAGTCCTGGACCTGGTGGCTTGCTTTCTCACTTTCCCTCTTTCTCTCTGTCTATCTCTGGTCAAATTAAATAACAATAATAATGATGAATAAAATTAAATAGTTATTTTAAAAAAGAGTTCAAAGTATACTGCAATTAAGATTTATTATCCTGTGACTATGTAAATATTAAATAAACCAATGAAGTACTAATTATAAGATTAAAACTTATTATGATTTATATATAAAGCAATACATTTTGACACAAGTAAGCACAAATACTTGTGAAGATAAAAACTTACTTGTACCTTAGTAAGTTTCAGGGTTCAATGGGTTAATTTTCGACAATGGTTGTGACTTCCCTTTCATGTTTCACATCGTCCTTATGTCTTGGCAATCCATTTAAAAACATGTGTCACCTAAATTATAGAGCAAGTCTCATCTGCATTAGTGGTGACATGCTAGAGGTATCCTGTGATCATCATATCTCTTTGGGTACATTGATAATTTGCATGTCATTATATAGCTGTGAGTTAGACCACTCAGATGAGTGTTTTCACCAGGCTGCAGGATTGAAGGGTGGGATAAAAAATATTAGGATAGGAATCCTATCACTATCATCATCTTAGTCACTGTTGGGATCAAAATAGCTAATATTCATCCTTTTTTTTTAATAATAATTTTTTATTTTATTTTTTATACATTCAATTACATTATTCAGCTTACAAAGTGAACATTTCAATATGTGAACATTTCTTTCCAATGTAGTTGATCAAAATATCTTCAACCGATAACACCATTATCTCCCTGTCTTGTCAACGCTCCGTCTCCATATCCCTCCTCCAAATGTTTTTCCACAGGCCCCATTTTTAAACATAAACTATGGCTTATTCCAATCACTTTATATGTGTTAATGCATTTGGTCCTCATAACAACTCTATTATATAGTTAATGTTATTATGTCAGTTTACAGATGAGGAAATTAAAGGACGTAAATGTTAAATAGCTTGCCCAAGGTTACAAAGCTAGTAAGCAACAGATTAGAACTAGGATTTAAATCCAGGTAATCCAAAAACAAAAGGCATCCTTTAACCTCTAAGCTATGCTTCCACCCCACACCCACACACAGAACACACAACCAGTAACAGGTAGGGACACTTCTAGAACATAAAATGAAGATTAGTTTGAAAATTGTTAAGTTGCTAGAATGTTATATAGTTTTTATCCACTGCAAATTTTCAAAGATAGGAAAAACTTTTTAAACTGTTATCCAAATATCCATGGTAATTTGGAGAGAGAAACTTTCCATAATAGGCACTCAATGCTTTGATTATTTTGGTAGATTGTCACTTGATGGTATTACTAATTCTAGATGATACTTCGAGCCCCCTGTGTACCAGGGACTGTTCTGTGCAGATCAAGGCACATTATTTTATTTGACTTTCTTAACATTCTATGAATAATATGCTTTTACTACCCACTTAAAGATTGAAAAACCTGGGCCTGACAGACCAAACAGCCTGTGCAGTCAGACCTGGTAGGTAGCACAGAAGAACTGGGCACTTGGGTTCAACTCAGCCCTGAACCAGACTTAAAACTACTGTGCCACAAGCATCCATTGCTCCAAACATTCTCTTAATAAAACTGTGTAAAGGGTTGATATATTTTACTATTTTATGTTTATTTCCCCAATCAAAGGGCATTTTCTTATTAGGCAGAAAATTAAGATATTGCTTTGGCCCATTATCTTTTTCATTGTTCTTATCATACTATACTGTAATTATTGATTTATATCCTTTCTCTCTTCACAAAGCAGTAACTTCCTTCAAATAGGATTTTACAGGGACCAGGTGATGGAGTAGTGGTTATATCACTGGACTCCAAAATGGCCAACTGTTGTTTGAGGCCCAGACCTGACATATTGAAACACACACCAGGCACGTGTACATACATGCTCAAAATCCCAAGAGGAGAATGGAGGAGAAGGGACTGCAGTATGACCATCCCCTCTGGGGAGTGATTTCTTTTTGTCTCTCTGGCAAGCACACACACTCTATAGCAAAAATTTCTCTAAAAAAAAAAAGGATTTTACTTTCATATTTGAGTCTGAAATGTTGAATAATATGCCTGGTATATTATAGGAACTTAAAAAATGTGTGTTGGAAAAATGAACAAATAAAGACAGTGTTAAAAGGATGATTTAGTAAAGCTTTTTCTTCCTTGTAATAGGTAGATACCCTCATAATGATGTACAAAACTCATTGCCAGTGCATCCTGGACAATGCAATTAATGGCAACTTTGAAGAGGTAAGGGTGACAACATGTGTTGTTGACCATATTCCATGTATTTTCATGCCCTGTTCTTAATGAGTTCATATTAAGAGACAATTTTAATGTACGTATTCTTTGCTCTGCCACTAGATCCAGCATTTCTTATTACACTTTTGGCAAGGCATGCCTGATCATCTTCTTCCTCTACTTGAAAATCCCGTTATCATTGACATTTTCTGTGTTTGTGACTCAATTCTTTATAAGGTAAGCTCTTTGCGTGTCTTAAACATGAATCATTTATTTCTTTAAATAACATTTTGTCTATATTCTTGCAATATATTTGAAATAAAATTTGTTTCTTCTGGCTGGAGATACACTATGAATATTTTTCTGATGAAAAAGCAAGGAATTTAATAGTGCATGTTTAATAGTCAATGTATTTTAGTGGAAATTTACATTTAGTTAAAACAAATTCAACCTCTGTTCACAGTTAAGAATGCATCTAAATGTGTAGTAATAATAATATATGAAAACCCAGTTAATTTTTATTAACTCTTTAAGGTATTTTCAGATCAAAATAACACAGTAACTTTTTTTTCTTTACAATATTCGTACTCGGGGGAATAGCAGAATTAGGTATTCTTATAGAATTAATAATTTGAAAACCTTTAGCTTTAATTCATTAATATCCAGTTCTGTTCTCAAACCAGCTAAGAGTCCCTCCAGAATCTACAACAGAAAGATCACAAAGACACCCTAAATAAAGATAGCTGGTTGGTCCTCTAGCTAGACATGTGGTTCAGAAGGGAAA